TTTTTTTTTTTTTTTTTCATTTTTTTTTTTTTTCAAGACAGGGTTTCTCTGTGTAACAGTCCTGGCTGTCCTGGAACTCACTATTGTAGAGCAGGCTGGCCTCGAACTCACAGAGATCCGCCTGTCTCTGCCTCCCGAGTGCTGGGACTAAAGACGTGCACCACCACCGCCCAGCTTGTGTTACTTTTCAGTAACTAGCCAGCATGGCCATGGGAAGAGGGAAATGTGCTTGTTTACTTGTGCAGTTGTTCACTGAGCGTCTCCAGCACTGTTTCCACATCAGTGAGGAAAGGGGGTCAAAAAATCCCAGCCTCCACAGAGTTTGCATTCTAATGGGTGGAGAGACGTAAGCTCAAGGCTCCGGAAGTCAGCACACTGCTGTGCAAAGCACACAGAAGCATACACTGTTGGAAGGTAATGGTGGCCTGGGACATGACTAAGAGAGGGCAGTGCTGAGGGCTGCATTTGGAAACAGATGGCTGGGGAGGCCTCACTGAGGGGACACAATGAGAGCAGACATGAAGGAGATGGAATGAGTTCACACGACCAGAGGAAGGAAACCAGCCTCCGGAGAGCCAGTGCTCGGCCCCAAGAGGAAGGGTGTGTGGCTCCTGAGAGGTCATCAGCACAGTGAACTGAGGAGGGTCCCAGAGGCTGCAGCAAGGGCATGAGGCCACATGGGTTCTATATGCCACTTAAAAAAAATTTGTCTTTAATCCTAGCAGTCTGGCAGGCAGAGGCAGGTGGATCTCTGAATTCAAGGCTAGCCTGGTCTACAGAGTGAGCTCCAAGATAGCCAGGGCTGTTACACAGAGAAACCCTGTCTCAAACAAACAAACAAGCAAACCAAATGAAAAACAAACAAAACAAAACAAAACAAAACAAAAAAGCATTTGGCCAGGCACGGTGGCATACATCTTTTATCCTAGCACTTGGGAGGCAGAGGCAGATGGATCTCTGTAAATTTGAGGCCAGCCTGATCTATATAGTGAGTTCCAAGCAAGCCAGGGCTACACAGAGAGACCCTGTCTCAAAAAGCCAAATGTGTTGCACCTGTGCACACCATAGTGCCTTTGTGGACTTCAGAGGAACTTGCAGGAGTCAGGTCTTTTTTCCACCACTGGGTATAGAACTGAGGTCGTCAGGCTTGGCAGCAAACACCTTTACACTGAGCCTTCTCACCAGTTTCTTAAAATATACACATACACATATGTAATTCACTTATTTTTACTGTATGCATATGATTGTTTTGCCTGCATGGGTGTATGTGCACTGTGTGTGTGTGTGCTTGTTGCCCAAGGAAGTCAGAAAAGAGGGTGTTCAATCTCCTGGACTTGTCACGCACCGTATGGGTGCTGGGAAGTGAATCTGAGTCCTCTGCACAAGTTCTCTTCACTGCTAAGCCTTCTCTCCAGCCCCCTGCCCCCTCCATATATACTTTATTTTTGTTAAAGAATTTATGCCCGTGGGAAGTTTTGTCCTTTGGAAGAGTGAGTATCTGTTTACCTGAAACACATGACTGGGCCTCTGGGAGGGTGCTGAGCTTCTAATGGGTTTTGTCCTTTGCCTTTTGCAGTTTTGTCCTGGACTCTCCATCTGTTAGCCATTGCATCTAGCAGTGGGGTTTGGATGCCTAGTTTTTCTGCCCTTCCTCCTTCCTTCTTTCCCTCTGTACTAAATGGCCTGGTGTTTACTATCTAGATCAGGCTGACTTTAAACTCGCAGAGATCTGCCTGCCTCTACCTCTCAAGTACTGGGGTTAAAGACGTCTGGGGTGTGTGGTGGGCCGCTTTGAGGACACTGAGTGCTACTTGTTTCTCTTACACTGGGAAAATGACAAGAGTTAAAGTTATCGATTGGACATAGAGAGAATGGTATTTAGTGGGCAGAAATGAAAGCTTGCCTCTCCTGGTTTGGAGACTTGTGGAGAATACACTTGAGTATTTTGTTCAGTAGGAGAGAAATTTTGGAGGTGCAAGTCTCTGAAGTGAATGTTTCCAGAGCCTGTTCCTTTTATGTGAATGCAGAGCTACCACATTTCATGCTGAAACTCGCTGTCTCTGGGTTTGACCTTGTGTGTTTGTCGTTGCAGATGCGGGTCAGGTGTCATTTAAATACTTCCAGTCTGCAGAAGAAGCCAGGTGTGCCATCGAGGCCCTGCTGTCGGCAGACCCCCGGTCTGTGTATCGGCGGAAGCTCTGCCAGGACCGCCTTTTCTTCTTCACTGTTGACACGGCTCATGTCACCTGCTGGTTTGGCCAGGGCTTTGCTGAGGTTCTGCAGATTAAACTGGCTTCTGAGCCTGTTGAGATGACTGACCCTGAGGAGTCCTTGGTGGCCCTGGGGTCTTGAGCCCCATCGGGTGTTTAGACGGCCTAGTTGACCTCTGGGTGTAGCTGCTTTTGTCCTCTTACTGCTTCAGTTGGTGCCTTTTACAATATTTATTTCAAGGAAACTGTTTGATTTTGGTTTTGGTTTTGATTTTTCAAGACTATTTTCTGTGTAGCCCTGGCTGTACTGGAACTCCAGGATAGACCAGGCTGACCTCAAACTCACAAAGATCCACCTGCCTCTGCCTCCACTGTGTGCCCTCATGCCCGGTGAAGGAAACGTGTGTTCATCAACGTCCCCGAGAGCTGTGAAGCACAGCGTCCCCACCGTGTGCTTTCCTCCAGTGCCGCAGACTCCCAAAGCCTGGAAACTCTCATTACTAGTGCTTGACACAGAGAACATTCTCCTTTATTTTATTGGTTTTTCAAGATAGGGTTTCTCTGTTAACTCTGGCTGTCCTGCTCTCTAGACCAGGCTGGCCTTGAACTCAGAGTCACCAGCCTGTGCCTCCTGAGTGCCGGGTTTCCACGTCACAGCTGATCCATTCATCAGTTCACACTGACTTCCCCACTCAAGAGCCTGTGGTAATTCACACTGAGTTACAGTGTCTTAGGTGACCACAGCAATCTTTATGGATTAAATTCCGGCTTTGGAGGGACCTTGTTACACACACATGCAAATAACAAATCTGAGCTCCTTGAATATCCCTAGTCAGAAAGGAAAACTACCCCCTCCCCCATCTCAAGAAAGTGGCTATTGGTTTGTCTCTGACTCTGCTAAGAAGCCATGACTCAGCTTTTGGTGATTACCATGAGCCGAACAAAATGTGGGGCAGAGTTCAAGGCACACACTCACTTAGCCCAGGCTGTCCTGGGACGCTGATCCTCTTGCCTCGGTCTCCTGGTCTCTGATGCACTTGTGTCGCAAGTCAAGGTTTGTGGAGGAAGTGGACGCGCGTGCCGGAGTGGATACAGTTTGATAAACTAATTAACACCGCACCGTTGCGTGCCGAGCAGGAAGCAATTACAGGGGTGTGTGGCCTGTAGGTGATTTTAATGAGGCGATCTGAGATAACTGAAGATACTCTTTCCTAATCACAGCTGCAGATCTCAGCTGATTGATCATGGTTTGGAACCAGCCCATGGCCTGTGGGAACTTGTGCAGCTATTGGCTGACGCCATCCCACTCCTGAGCTGGCTGCTGGGGTAGCTGTTGTTTCCTTTGACACTGCTTACAGTGTTTTCTGACAAGATCTTAAATTTGATTTTTCTAAAGCTTGTTTTTTTTCTTCTGAAATATAGACTGTAAGAAGTTGTGAAAATAACCCAGAGGTCTCTTCTAGCCTTTCTGATCCAGTGGAAACATCTAAAAGTATATTATAGTATTATAATATTATAATAGTGCTTGGCATTGGTAGGGCCTATCTTGTAGTCTGCTTTTGATGCCTCTTTGTGTGTGTTTGTGTGGGTGTATGTTGTGTGGATATGTGCACATGTATGTGGAATCCAAAAATGGTATCCACATTTAAAAAAATATTACTATGATAAAACCCAGGGCTGTGTTGCCAGCAATCAGGAGGCAGAGGCAGGCGGATCTCTGTGAGTTCGAGACCAGCCTGGTCTACAGAGCTAGTTCCAGGACAGGCTCCAAAGCCACAGAGAAATCCTGTCTCGAAAAACAAAACAAAAAACAAACAAACAAAAAAACCCAGGGCTGCACAGAGAAACCTTGTCTTGAAAACACAAAAACACCAAAACCAAAAAAAAAAAAAACAAAAAAACAAAAAATAGCAATAAACCCCTCCTTCCTAGAAACTCAAAACAAAACAAAAGACCCTCGCAGATAAATAAAAACAAACCGGGTCTAATGTCTCTACAATTTAATAAACTTCTGTATAGTTAGAGTTAGCATTTGGAGTGGAAGCTGTGGTATTTCTTTTTATTTCTTTTTTATTGATTTTTATTGAGCTCTACATTTTCCTCTGCTCCCCTCCCTGCCTCTCCACTCCCCATTTTAACCCTCCCCCAAGGTCCCCATGCTCCCAATTTACTCAGGAGATCTTGTCTTTTTCTACTTCCCATGTGGATTAGATCTAGGTAATTCTCTCTTAGTGTCCTCATTGTTGTCTAGGTTTTCTGGGTTTGTAGGCTGGCTTTCTTTGCTTTGTGTTTAAAAACCACCTATGAGTGAGTACATGTGATAATTGTCTTTCTGTGTCTGGGTTACCTCACTCAAAATAATGTTTTCTAGCTCCATCCATTTTCCTGTAAAATTTAAGCTGTTTTTTTTTTCTGCTGTATAGTACTCCATTGTGTAAATATACCACATTTTCCTTATCCATTCTTCGGTCAAGGGGCATTTAGGTTGTTTCCAGGCTCTGGCTATGACAAACAAAGCTGCTGTGAACATAATTGAGCACATGTCCTTGTGGCACGATTGAGCATCCTTTGGATATATACTCAAAAGTGGTATTACTGGGTCTTGAGGAAGGTTGTTTCCTAATTTTCTGAGAAATCACCACACTGACATTCAAAGGGGCTGACCAGCCTGCATTCCCACCAACAATGCAGAAGTGTTCCCTTTCCTCACAACCTCTCCAGAAGCTGTGGAATTTCACATTAAGCTTACACGTTCAGTATTGAATATATTTTTTCTTTCTTTTTTTTTTTTTTAAACATCGTCTCACTGTCTTGGAACTCACTGTGTAGACTAGACTGGCCTTGAGCTCCTACAGATACCTGTCTAGCTCCCCCCACCCCAGATAGGGTTTCCTCTGTGTCACAGCCTTGGCTGTCCTAGAACTCGCTTTGCAGGCTGACCTCAAACTCACCTGCCTCCAAGTGCTGGGATCAAAGGCATGCACCACCACTGCCTGCTTGAATATATTTTATACTCTTATCCACCACCCAAATAAAAGATCTGTGACAGAACAAATACTCTTAACCACTGAGCTCTCTCCCCAGCCTGTTTCTCTCTTTTAAAATAAAGATACCTTTATTTAGCATGTATGCAGTGTTCTGCCTCCATGTGATGTGTCCCTGCAGGCCAGAAGGGGGCACCAGATCTCATTAAATGGCTGTGAGCCACCATATGGTTGCTGGAAACTGAACTCAAGACCTCTGGAAGAAGCAGTCAGTGCTTTTAACCTCTGAGCCATCTCTCCAGCCCCCAAGAATTTTGTACATATTTTGATCCTGTTTATCCCTCCTCCAATTCTCAGGTCCACCCCTGCCTTCCCATCCAACCCCACCCAACTTTGTTTCTTTTTTTAAAAACCCATCAAGACCAGTTTGTGCTTCCTAATAATTGTGGGGGTGTGTTCTTCACTAGACTCTGGTTGACTTCTCAGGGGATAGAGTCTTACACAAAACTGCCTCTTGCTCTCCCAGCACCTAACGGTTGCTCTCCCAGCACCTAGCTCCATGGCTAGGGATAGGATTCGATGCTAACTCTCATCTCTATGCTGGGATGGTGACTGGGGCTTGCACAAGGCTCGTGTGTGCTGTCAAAACACTGAGTTCATATGTGCAGCTGCCCTGCTGTCTGGAAGATCATCTTGTCATCCTCATCCTAGCTCCTAGGCTCTTCACATCCCCTCTTTTGCAATGGTCCAGGAACTTTGGGAGGGTTGGTGTGCTACAGATGTTCGTTCCTCTTGGCTTTTGATTAGGCTTAGAGTATTCGACATTATTATTATTTTCTTAAAAATATTTATTTATTATGTATACAATAGTCTGTCTGTGTGTATGCCTGCAGGCCAGAAGAGGGCACCAGACCTCATTACAGATGGTTGTAAGCCACCATGTTGCTGGGAATTGAACTCAGGACCTTTGGTAGAGCAGGCAATGCTCTTAAACCTCTGAGCCATCTCTCCAGCCCTCAACATTATTATTTTTAAGAATGAGACCTAGGGCCAGTGAGGCGCCTCGGCAGGTAGGGTCCTGACCACTTGAGCTTGGCCTGTAGGATCCATGGGCTAGGAGGAGAGAACTGACCATGATGTTTTCTGACCTTCACACGTGTTCTGTGGCACATACCTTCACTACTCAAATACATACACAGCTGCTACGTAATAAATAAAATGTGTAATAATTGTTTACACTGGACTTCACAATTCACACAGCAAGTTTAAATATTTTACCTCATTTGGTATTTTAACAATATTTCAGATTGTGTGCGTGGGAGCTAGCTTGCAGCCTGTCAGCAGACTACTGTGGCCCAAAGCCAACTCTCTTTTATACATTTTTTTAATTCACTTTGTGTATGTGTGTGTGTGTGTGTTTGTGTGTGTGTGTGTATACACGTACCTGTGTAGAGCCGTACCTGCGGAGGTAGGTGGATCCTGGGGATTGAACTCAGATCACCAAGCCTGCCAGCAAGCTCCATTAGCTACTGAACCATCTCACTGCCCCTCCTGTTCTTTTTCTGACTGCTGCTAAGATTGGTCTTTACATTGTCAGACAAAGAGTATAATAAAAACTACTCAACCAACAAAAACTAAGAAGACACACCTGGCACATGGACTCCCAGAGCTGGAAACATTTCTTAACTGGTCCTTTTTGGAAACATTGGGGCTGCTGACCTAGAGTGTTGGTTCTCTGAACAGTGTTTGAGTTCCAGAAAAGTTATTTGTGAATGAAATTTTCATGTTACCACATGAATACTAAAATGCTCTTTGTAATTTAAGAGGGTTTCCATGGCTGGAAATTGGTGGAGTAAAAGATAAATTGTATCCTGTTTTTCTATTTCCCATTCATGAGTGCAAAATGAGGTTCTAAGAATCCATGCTCATATGTGTGTAGTAGTTCTGGAAGGATGGACACACACGTTGGTGAAGATTGCTTCGTTTCTTGGTGCTGTGCATTGAACAGTATCCCCTGCCTGCTAGGCAGATGCTGTGCCCCAGAGTCACATCCCATCAATGGTGTCTCTGCAGAGGGTTCTCTGGAACTCACTGGGAAAGGCGCTGTTTGCTATATTCCCTTCAGTCTAGTGTGAATTTTTTTTCTGACCAGGAGCACACATTATTTTTAAATGTGGAACATGAGGAAATGTCCTCCATTCCGCTTGAAGTGGGTCTGACCTGGATGAGTGTAAACGAGCGAGTTAGATTTCTGTGTTTAAATTCACCGCTCTATGTCCTTCCTCCCTTGCCTTATGAAGTGCGGTGTTTATGATAAAGGGCATGGCCTTTCCCGCCGCGTCACCCGTGCGTCAGGAAGCCAAACCCACCCGCATCACACCTGTACCTGTTCAAGCAGGTAGCTTAGGCCTTGTTCCTGAGAGTGGCCGCTGCCTCCTGCTCTTCCAGACCTTTGGACATAGTCTTGTGTCTCCTTGGGAGTAGAAGGCACCCAGTCCACGGTGCTGCTGGTCTACCACCACACTCCTTGTTACAGAAATGGCCAAAGCAGTCCATCCTATCTGATCAGAAGGGCTCAGTTTATAGGAGCCACTCGCTCGTCGTCGCCATCTACTGGCCCACTGTGTACTTGCATGGTAGAACGCTCACCTATCACGTGACTGCTGAGGTTGCTCTCCAGGCATCCCCAGGATTGGCTTTTGCCGGCTGTCTGCACAGGAGCCCTGAGCCTGGTCAGTCGAGTCAGCAATAAAAGCCCACTTTGAAAGCCAAGACTGGCTATGTCTACTGAATGAGTGCCTGTGCCGAGCTGTCATGTGGGTGCACAGCAAGAAGGCCCGGCCAGCACGTTGGCAGGGCAGAGCCTGTGTGTGGCGTGCAGTACGACTGTCCACGGACTTGGAGGTGGGGGGAGTCTGGATCTGAGGGAACTAGTAAAGTCATGGCGGATACAGTCTAGGAACACTAGGGAGACCGGAGAGTTTTCCTGCTGAGCTTCTTTTTTCTTTCCTAGTGATATTGTCGTTATCATTGCTGTCTCCTTGTTATTACTGAAAAAGATTTATTGTGTGTGTGTGTATGAGTGTGTCTTGCACACACACATAAACACGCAAATACATATGCATCCCTTCCAAAAGGTGAAGAATATGGGGCTTAAGTGATTAAGAACACCAGTCGCACCTCCAGGGGACCTGACTTTGAGTCCCTGCATCTACACGGTGGGTCACAACTGTCTGTAACTCCAGTTGCAGAGGATCTTACGCGTCTTCTGGCTTTTGGGGGGGGCACTGCAGTCATGTGGATGATATACAAAATGGAGACTAGACACTCAAACACAAAATAAAAAGGAAAAAATAATTTTAAGTGGAGAAAATGAATTGTGGAGACCCGCGGGTCACCCCTGACCCAGCATCTGGCTGAGAAATGTATTGAGTTAAGAGGCGGCTTCCCACAGCTTCTGAGGACGAGACTGGGAGGGGTTCAAAGTAGGTCAAGGGTCACAGGCTCTGGCCAGTAGAAGCTTCTAATGCAATTTTATTGAAAACGAAACCAAAAAACCCGCTTAATGGTATTACTTTGAAAAAACGCCTTGCCAATTTCTAAAAGTGAAGCTACAAGAGACCCACATTTCCTTCTTGCGAGCCTGTCTCTCAAAGCATCCCTTGCCCCGAGGGGCGGTTTGGAAATCAGATCCGCCCAGCTTTCTCAGAGCCCAGCTCAGGGCTGGGTGCGGGTAGCGCGGAGGGAGGGAAGCTTGAAGCGGCTTGCAGCCGGTCTGTTCTCATCCGCGGCCGCTCATCCCTCCCACGTGTCCAACCTAGTGGGTCTGCGCTGGAGCACGCACCGCTTTAGCCCTGAGACCCTGGCGGGGCTCCAAGCCGTGTAGGCTCTGCTGGAAGGAGCCAGAGGAATGCCTGCTAGGCTGAGCGTATTCCGGGGCCGTGTGCAAACGGTGATGCAATTCTCGCAGCTTTCTGGGGGTGGGGGGAAGCCGGGCACTGTAACACCCAGGGAAGTGGGAGCAGAAACAACTTTATCGCTCCCTTTGACTTCCCATGCGGTTGAGATTGGTTTTCTTAGATCCCCACGTGCCCGGGGTTGAAGTGGGCTGCCGTGGGAAGTTATGAGCTCCTTGCCTGCGGTGCGGGATAACTACTTGGCAGCAATGTTGTGGAGGCGAAGGGGACTCCAACACCAAGATGCTGAGTGTCTTTGGTGCCCATTGTCCCTAAGACGCTGCCACAGGTACGCAACCTGATGCGGATTTCACAATCATCTTCTCAGGTCGATGATGCAAGCTCCTTGAGGAGAAAGTCCCGGCTGCTGAGATGGATGGACCCTGGGCTGTTGGGGCTGGGAGTGCCTGACTCACGCTTCTCAGCCCATGCCAGCATTTCCGAGGGAAGCGATGCAGTCTCCCCCACTTCTTCCTCCGCTCGCCCCCTGAAGGCAAGCGTCTCCCCTCCTCCTGCCTTTGACTGCTCATAACTCTCTGGGAGATCTCAGCCACAACCCTGACGCCAGCCCTCACACCTGTGGACCTCAAGCTGTTTCCAGCCTTGACTTCATTCCTGAGCCCCTCGCCCACGGAGCCATCCATCCGGGAACCCAGAATCTTCGTCTCCTCTCGCCCTCATTTCCAGAAGGGGTCTGCTTCTTCTGCCTTTATATTGGACACCGCTCTCAGCTCCGGCTTAGTTTGTTTCTATGTGTGTTCAAGCCTCCACATGCCTCCTCAGGGCGCAGCTTTTTTTGGCGTTTCTCATTCCAGCTCCATCCCTGTCAATTCCGTTCCTCCTGTGTTGGCCACTAATGTCTGGCCAAGGGACTAGCCCCATCTTCCTTTTCCTCCCACTCCTAACACTGTTTTCTTTTTTTTTTTTAAAGATTTATTTATTTATTTATTATACAGTGTTCTGTCTGCATGTATATCCTTGCAGGCCAGAAGAGGGCACCAGATCTCATTATAGATGGTTGTGAGCCACCATGTGGTTGCTGGGAATTGAACTCAGGACCTGTGGAAGAGCAGCCAGTGCTCTTAACCTCTGAGCCATCTCTCCAGCCCCCAAACACTATATTCCTCATGCTGCCAGAAGGATATGGGATCCGGCCTCCACCAGGTGGTCATTCCCTTATGAACAAGTGCAAAGCATAAAAAGACAGACACGACCAAGTGTGGGCAAGGACACAGAGCAACCCAAGCCCTGGTGCAGGTCCTGGTGGGTGTGTGGAGGGGGAAACAAGCCTGGAAAGCTAGTTGCATATGTTAAGAAAGGAAACACAAAACCCACGGCCCAACGAGACTGCTGCGAGATTTGAACCCAGCAAATACAGTACCACAAGAGCAGTGGTCTCAACTTGTGGGTCACGACCCCCGGGGAGGGGGGGGAGAAGCAAACAATCCTTTCACCTAAGACTGTTGGAAAGCACAGATATTTACACTATGATTCATAACAGTGGTAATGAAAAAAATTTTATGGTTGAGAGTCAGCACAACATGAGGAGCTGTGTTAAAGAGTTGCAGGGCATTGGGAAGGGTGAGAACCACTGCTCTAGAGCATCACAGGGCACTGCAGAAAGGTGCTCTCCATGGACGGGACGTTACAGAGCAGCAAGAAGAAGCCCGGCTTGTGTGCAGTAAAATAAGTCACATACGTGGGTAAGACGGGAAAGTCTCTGGTGTGGCCAGGATGGTGTTTTATCTGTGTGTACAGAGTTCTTGAGAGGGGCCACCAGGGATTTCAGGAGTTTTAGCAACAACTTGTATCTTTTAAAAATTATTTTTATGATTTTGAAATTATGCATATATGTATACATGTGGGTGACTGTGTGCCCAGGAGTGCAAGTGCCCTTTGTATCCAGAAGAGGGTGCCAGATCCCCTGGAGCTGGAGTTACAGGTGGCTGTGAGCTGCCTGAAATGGGTGCTGTGAATCAAACGCAGGTCCTCTGCAAGAGCAGCAAGTGCTCTTAACTTCAGAAACCATCCCTCCAGCCCCAACAACTGTAGTGTGTGTGTGATTAAAATTATTGCTGGCTGTAGCGGCATAGGCCTTTAATCCCGGCATTTGGGAGGTAGAGGCAGGCAGATCTCTGAATTTGAGACCAACCTGGTCTATAGAGTGACTCCCAGGACAGCCAGGGCTGTTATACAGAGAAACCCTGTCTTGGAAAAACAAAGCAAAACAAAACAAAAACCCAAGATTATTTATTTTATGTGTATGACTGTTTTGTCTGCATGTCTGTCTGTGTACCATGTGTTGGATCCCCTGGAATTTGAGTTGTGAACCCCCATCATGTGGGTACTGGAAATTGAATCCAGGCTCCCTGGAAGAGTAACCAGTGCTCCTAACCACTAAGTCACCTCTGCAGTCCAACATCTATTTTTTTACTCCCCCACCCCCGATCTCCTCCTTTCCTTTCCCAGGGTCTCTCTATGTAGCCCAGATGGCCTTTATCTCCAGATCCTCCTGTCTCTGCCTCCCAGGTGTTGGGATTCCCAACGTCCCTGGCGCTGATGGTGTCCTCGCCTGGCACTGTTTCCATAGGCATGGTCAGTTCTGAGAAATTTGACCGTATATCATTCATACTTCCACGGAAACTCACTAGACCCGCCTTCCCCCGCATACACACCAACAGAAAGCCTCCCCTCCCCCTCCCCCCAAGCCCATGCCCAGAGGAGACCCCCCCTCCCCCGCAGAGCTGGGAGCAAACTAAGTAAGCTCTCCAGAATGCTCACAGTCTGCCAGGCCTCCTTTCCACCCATGCCTTCTCTGCCTGCCATCTAGACCACTCCTGGTTCTGCTGGCTGGGCTGTGTCCTCGAGGTCTTTCTCTGTGTCTTCAGCAT